AGTCTCTGCATTTATCCATGTACATTATCAGCATCAATCTGTGTTAGAGCTGCAGCAAGTGAACAGTCAGCAGCATCCTGAGCAGCTGGTCTTCCGGTTGTTCTGACAGTAATCCTCCATAAACCTCTGTTCCTGACCATACTTGTGGTCCATCATGCCTTGAATCCCTCAGGGCTCTTGTTGCCTCCTCCCCCCCCCATCTTTCTCAGTTTTGCTGACCTTTCTGTTAAACTGCTTATTAGTGCTCCACAAGGACTCCACATGCTGAAATATCAAAGAAAAATCTCCAAATGCTTCTCTAAGAATTGTGGCCCATATTCAATTATAAACTCCTCTCACAGCTCCCTAAGGTCAAATATAATTTACAGTAGGATAAACTAGTTGGTGTGTTCTGCAACAAGGTAGAAGTGTTAGTTTAAATCAGTTATATATATCCAGTTTAACAGAAAAAAATCTGTGGCAATTCTAGCCAAAGTTGCAAGGGAAAAGGATTGTTGCCTCAAATATGCTTGAGTGAGGCAAAAACTATTCAGGCTAGGGAAAAACAAGTCAACACAGGCCATGAATACAGCTATGCTGGAAGTGAAGAGGATTTCTTACCACCAGAACTCTGGTTGCACTAATTAATGTAGAAGTGTTGGAGAGAAATGAGAAGAAAACGAAATAAATTAGTAGATGGAGCTGGACCAATTTATGAAAGCAAGTTCCCTGACATCCTGTGCCCAGCTGCAAAGTCTGTGTGCAGTCTGTCCACCTGATCTTTCAGTCTCCACGTCATGGTATCACCAAATTGCTAGAAAACTTGTAATTCAGTAACTACTTAAATCTAATCTAAGATCCTAACCCTAAAACAAGAACTATATTAAGGTGAGTTAATGAGTCTGCCCATATTTTTAAAAGAAAAATGCCTACAAGTTGCAAATGGTATCAAACACCAATTTATTTTGCCATGTATCCCTTACAGAAAAAATCCACCTGTCAAAATTCACAGGATAACAAGCAATACAGTTCTGAAACACCTCTCCCTATGTCAGTGGGCAAGGTCAAAGCTGGGACTCAGCAAGCAGTGAATTTTATCCATGGCTTTTCCAATGACCCAGGATTTGGCCTTGACAGTCACTTACCGATAGTATCCAATTTCCTGTCTATAAGGCTGACACTAGTATTATACACAGTGCTTTAAGAATGCTATACCTCAGGCACATCATTTAATGTTTTGCAGTGATTTATTTGAAGACAGAGGCTTTAGCAAAGCTTACTCCATAAATTCCCGTGGTGCTTTAAAACAAACATGTCCTGAACATCATGAAGAAACAGGCCTTCCTTCCCTTCTGTATGATTTTCTTCTTGAAAAGAAATATGTTTCTGTATTTATGTCTTTATGAATCCTCATAAATCCACAATGTTATTTCAGTCTCTGGTGCTACCATTTTCCTGCCTGTTGCACCTGTGCTACACACAAACACAATCAGAAAAGAAGAAAAAAAATAGGGTTGTTTACTTTTCAAGCATATTGTGCAAAAATTGCCTATGAAGAGTCATAGAATCAAGGAAGCTTGTGTTGAAAGGGACATCAAAGATCATCTAGTTACAATCCCTGTGCCATGGACAGGGGTGCCAACCTCTACATGAGGTTGCTTAGGGCCCCATCAGCCTGGCACTAAGCACTTCTAGGGATGGAGCATCCATGATTTCTATAGGCATCCTGTTCCAGTGCCTCTTCACCCTCTGAGTAAAGAACTTCTTCCTAATATCTAACCTAAATCTCTCCTCTTTTAATTTAAAACCAATTTCCCTTGTCCTGTCACTATCTGCCCATTTAAAAATCCCCTCTCCCTCTTTTTTATAAGCTCCCTTCAAGTATTGAAAGGCCACAATGAGGTGTCCCTGGAGCCTTGTCCAGGCTGAACAACCCCAGGTGTCTCAGCCTGTCAGTACATGTCCTTTGCACATGATGCCATTGAAGGAGAAGCATCTATACCCTACCATAATAGACAAGTGTGAATGCAGTTCAGTTTGGATAAAGATAATGATCAGTGCACCTGTTTTCTAACTTTGTGGTTTGGGGATTCCTGGGGAATTTGAAGACTGTTAAATAAAATCTCCCACCAGAAAATATTAGTTACTTACATGCATCTATTTCTACCTTGCTTGAAAGGTTTAGAGAAGCTTGTGTGTGTGTACACAGTAGAATAGATGTTTACAAGCAACGCCTGCCATAATGATGTGGCAATTAACAATTGTGCTGTAGAGATGAAGAGAAAGTACTGAATTGTTATTGTACCTTGCTAATTCTTGTAGTTGTAAAAGTAACTTTCAATTTCAGCGAGGTGGCTGTGCTATAGCAGCTACCATTAACAGTAAGCTGTATCCTAGCTGTTAACTATATTGGAAAAACCAGGTACCTAAATGGCCTTTAGTCTGTCACGAAGGTACATTGGTGAAGCAGTGTAGGGACTGGGTTTGGGTTTTCTCCTTGGGAACTGACCCTTTTTTTTTTTGCCAGAGGACCTCTTTAGCCAGCATTGTAGCTCTGTCACCAGAACATGATCACAGCATGAAATATTTGAATACCGACAAACAGACTTTATGGCTGTATATATCCTCACAAATAAAACATGTTGTTCTCTGGCCAGATGGATATGTGGCAGAGCATGGCCCACAGCCACATGGCTAAATTCTCTTTATCCCACAAGCAGAACGATTTTGTGCCTAATGTCTCTGTCCTGTGCTTTCCCCAAAGAGAAAAAGATTAATCAAACATTTAACCTCTTCTGCTCCTCAGGAGGCTGGTGGGATTTTCAGAAGGGTTTAAAAACAGACTGCCATGCCCTGGCATATCTTAACCCTTAATTAGCAGTGGTGGTGCCAGTGCCCAGCAGCCCTGCAAAGCTAGTAGTTTGTTGGACATGTTGCTATTTGAATGGAAATGCCAAAGCATTGCAGTACCCACCCATTTCATACCCCCCAGGCCCATGGTGTACATATAGTTCTACTTGACTTAGGAGCCTAGGATCTATTTTCAAGTACTATTTTAGAACTTAGGCATTTAAAATACCTGGTTAATGATATTACAGGGTTTGAAGTTGTTGCTGGCCTCGTGGTCTCAGATAATTCTACCCTTGTCTGAGAAACAGCAGAATAGCAAATAGCTGGTGTGCCAGCATTTCAGCCCTTGTGATTCACAGCTTGTCAGATGATGAGGCTTTCTGTTTACACTGATATGTTGGGCTGTAAACTGCTTCTGTGGCTGTGGACTTTGAATTATTACTCCCAATAGATTAAGCTCAAGGTAGCCCATGTACTAATTTTCCGAAATAAAAACAAAACAACCCCCACACACACACAAAATAAAACAAAAATAACCAAAAAAACACCAAACCCCACAAACACCAGCTGTATCATGTTTTATATCTCCAATTATCTTGTTTTCATCAACACAAATTAGTTTTTCAGGGCCAGTTTTTATTCAGGTGTTAGGGATTGTAAGCTCCCAGTACTTGAAATGTACTGCAGAGTCAGGGCCTGGGTCTATGCAGACCCAATAAGGCATTTATATTGGCCTGTTGTTAGAGTGGCACAAATAGTGTTCAATCTGGCATGAAAATTCCTAGTATGAAGTTATTACCCTCAAATTACTTGAATAAGCCAGAACTAGCAGAACAAAGCTATATAGGTTCGGCACTGTATGTTAAGTGGTGACAGCTGTTTGTGGATCCGTTCCAGGAGCTCTAGTGATAGATACAGTATTTCAGCAAAGCCCAGCATGAACTTCAAGGTTTAGAAGGTGTGAGCAAAGATCAAGCAAAAACCTGGCTCGAACTTCTGTCATTCTAACACAGAATTGTTTCCCATGTGTGTGTTGTGCCTCTGTTTTCCTAGTCAACCCATAAACGCCATCGTCATGGTTTTGATGCAGACCGAGATGCCAAGAAAATACACAGTGCCTGCAAAGGAGCAGGTAAGAGAGATCTTGGGTTTTGTACAAAGGGCAATTCAATATTATAAAGAGCATATACATGAACTTAAGGCAAAACAACTGTTCCAACTACTTTTAGGTAACCTTTATGCTTTCTGTCACATACTGACTCAAAGAACATTCACACCCATGAAGACAAATAGGAAGGGAAGCCACCTTGTTCCTCAAAGCCTGGTGAGATCTAATTTGTTAATTGCTTAGCTCCAGTGGATTGGGGTAAACATGGTATTTGTTCCCTGTGATAGGAACATCAAGCTGCCAAGACTGATATGACAGTCATGGGGCCCAGCTAGTCAGGTCAGATTAAAGTCATGGTTATCTGTCCTTTCCCATGCCTTCAAGGACCAGTAAAAAACATCACCACCTCCTTATGTTCATCACAGCCCACTGCAGCTCCATCAAGTGAAAGGCAGATAGAGTGCTTTCAACCTGCATCAGTGATTTTTAACCAAAACTACTGTCTCCCACCATCTTCTGAGGTAGCTGGACGTAAGCTGACTGACTGCACTGATGTGAGTGAGGAATACACAGTGTTTCACAGGATCCTCAGATCCATGGAACTGACAATGTCCAGTAGAGGAAGAATAGTCAGGCAGCACACGAGATCAATAAGTTCTTAATTCATTCCAGATATTTGCACAGCAAACATGTATTTAAGCATTTCTTCCTGGTATAAGCACTGACATTCAGAGTCAGCTACTTAAGTGCTGAATTTTAGGAGCTGTTCCTGTCCTATCAACTGAGCCCCCTCATGGCAGTTTCCCAGAGGACTCTCCTACTGACATTTTAACCTCACATTGTCAGATAGGAGTAATTTTCCTTTTAAAATTGGACCATGCCTTCTGCCTTGGTTCTAAGCAGGAGGAACTGGACAAGATGCCCTAAAGTTGTCCTGGATGTACCTGCTGATGATATGAAGGATGGAAATGCATCAGCTGTTGCTGAATGCCAATATCATTTGTACTTTTATCTATGGTCCTGGTTGCTTTTCAGAAACCTTTATTGGTTCTTGCTCCTAAAAGCCAGGGATGAGGCACAGCACAAGTGCAGTAGGTGGATGCAACAGATGGAAGAGCATGAGGAGAGCGTGGAGCAGTGCCCACCAGCAGGATGTGCATACTTCAGCAGACCTGATGTATGGCTTGATGTCTAAAACCTATATGCTATGGGCATTTTGGCAGTGCCCATCACATGCAGGGTCATATGCCTCTCCTGGTTCACATTCTCCATTTCAATACTTGTCTTGAAGAAGTAATGCCTGAGTCAAGCTGCTGGCCCTTAAATGGAAGTGCACCAGGACACCTGTGTTATGCAATGGCTACTCTATGGGGTCTTTTGGACATCCAGGTAGCATCACTCTGGTCTCGACTCTTTAGCCACACACATAACAAATGCCTTCCAGCAGTTTTGTTTAGTGCAAACATTTGTTTAAATGGCAAGAAAAGTACAAGAACAAGGTCATTGCCTTTAGTAAGCTTCTTCCATCCATTGCATAAGTTGCAACTCAAGGCTGACCGTGGGCTTTCTCCTGGAGGGGTGCTGCATGTTCAGTTCCCCTCTGTGATGGGCAGCACAGCAGCTGCATCTCTCTGAGCATCCCATGCTCCCATTCAGATTTTTGCCAGGCAACTGAGCATCAGCAGAGAGCAGAGACTCAGACCATCAAGGCTGGTTCTGGATCCTCTTCCTGACTCCATTTGGGAAAACACACAACCGATTTTGTGCAGGCTGTGTATCCAGGTGGTGGGTTAACAAAGCTGATTCAAACACATCCTCATCTGCCCTGGCCTCTTGCTCCACACCCCTCATTCTGTTGTGCTGTCACAAGCGTTCACACACGAACTGGATCTGGTGGTGGCTGATCCCTTGGGACTACTCAAACCAACATTGTCACCAGAAACGTGTGTGTCAGTCTATGGGCACTGGCATAGCCCTAATTTTAGAGGCAGTGTCTGACTTCTCAAACAGAAGACTCAGTTTCCCTGAAAAAATATAAGCAGCCTGAGATGGTGAACTTCTATTTTATGGTCTGAATATTGTAGCTGACTACAGTTAAATTCATCCTCTGAAGAATCTTAGATGCTACAAATCCTAAAGGTGACACCAGTGGGGATAAACATACAGCAATTTTTTTCTCATTAGAGATCATGTTTTTTTTTCTCTGCATTAGATTCCAGATAAAGTAATTCCTATGCACAACTTCTTTTTCAGGAACCGATGAAAAGAAAATTATTGAAGTCTTGTCGAGTCGAACATCAGAGCAGAGACAACAAATAAAACAGAAGTACAAGACACTGTATAGCAAGGTATTTTGAAATAAATAGCCTCCCTGTTTCAAACTGCATGCCTCTAGAAATATAGCCTGCAGAGCTCTGCTTTTGAAAATATCAAGAACTCAGTGGATTTAAGGAGGACACCAATAAGTTTCTGATCCAGCAATTTATTTTATCTCCTAAAATGCCAATTGTATTTCTAATTTCAGACCTCAGTGTCTTCTTGAAATCAGCCTTAACCAGATCAGAGCATTTTAATCCAAGTTAGAAAACAGAAATAGAAAATATTTGAGCTTGTGTTCACACATTCAGAAGAAGTTAATGTGAAAAGCAAATTTTAAGTCAGAATCCCTCTCAGACCAGATGCAAATTCAGAGAAACTATATGATCTTGCACAATGATATTTTTATTGAGTTTAATAGGAGTAATATTGATTTCTTCCAGTGATGAACTAGAACATGTTGCAAAACTAAGCAGTCTCATTGGACACTTGATTTCTGCAGGAGTAAGCGTAGACTGACTTACTGATTTTGCATGCAAGAAAAATAAAGCTTTTAAGATATTGTTTAGGTAAACAGCTGAATCCTGCAGGTTTATTATTCAATTGGTATTTTCATAAGGGCTGCTTGCTCCTTAGTCATTAATCAGAGTCAATAAGACAGTCAGCGCCGAACCTGAAAACATTCTATATGTAAAATTTACAGCAAGCAAGATATAGATTTTGGCTGCATAAATACTATATATTTAGTTCTATAATGAGGGTTTAAAAAAATAGGCATTAGAAATGAGCAAATGCCAGGAGACATCCTGGTTACACCAGCACATAGCAACCCTTCTCTCTTGCCTGGGCATCCTGAATCTCTTGGGAAGGAGACACAAGTTGTAGCATTTCACTCTTCTGCTGCTCCAGGAACTTGCAGGGTTCATGGTGTCTTCATTGAAACTGCTCCAACTCTGCTGGCAGCCTCTGACTTGAACAGATGTGTGTTTAGCTGTGTAAGAGGGAATTTAAGAGCAATAGATTTAAATCCGGATTTCTTGTTCATTGTTCTGAACTTGACATTGTGGGCAGAGTGGGAGCTCCAGACAAAGTTTGTTAGAGAAGCTCCTGTTGAGTCCCGAGGTGCAGAAAGGACCCCCTTGCTTTCTAAACTCCCTTTCAGAGAGGAGCCTGGTGCAGCTGGATCCAGTCTTAGCCCCAGACTTTGTCAATGGTTTTATGTCTCAAGGATTATACAGATGTAATTGAACCTTTGTACAACTTTGTCCTGCAGGGATTAAGGATGGCAAACCAGATATATTTATATAAATCTATATGATTTATTAGAATTATTAAACAAAAAGGTTTTAATCAGAATTATTTACTACACAGTATAGAAGGAATAACAACTGTTATAATATAGTGCACTATAGAGCAATATTGAAGCAATATTAAAGCCATTGTATTAAAGCTAGCAAAACAATTATTAAGTAGAGATTGATGTTACTCACCAAAACCAATGTCTGTGGGCAAATCTCTTTTGCTCAGCCTCAAGGAGTAACCTTGAGGGGAGTCCCCACTCAAGGGAGGAATCCTCACACATACACTCCAAGAAGAGGTATGTCAGAAGACCCTGCCCTTAACATTTGGGACTGGGCTTTTATAGTAATAAAGTGATTGTCTGTCAGTCAGATGTCTCCAGGCTGTGTCAGCTCAGCAGCTTTAGATAAGTTATCAGTAGTAGTGTTTGTTTGTTCCTTTACCAGTTTTACCATGTCTTGTTTAACTTTGGGATTGATGAATCAGTCTGATTTCAGCATCCACCACCAAAAGCAGCATGACACCCCCTTCTCCATTTACCACTGATAGCTTTGCAAACAGGGCATTTATCAAGTTGTTTTACCCCATTCCAAGGCAGATCATCCTGCTACATTTGTCAAGTACTTCCCATACTACAGGAAATGTTAACTGCAGATAGGGCTTCAAAAACACCATCTGCAGATATCCTCAGTGTGCACACATTAGCTGGTTCTTCTCCAGTCTTACCAAATTTTGAATTTAGTAGATCACATCAAAGAAGGTGGATTTTTTTTTGGTGGAAAAATTGCTTATTGCTTGGCACCAAAGCACTTTGTAGAAATTTGTTGCTTTTTCCAGTAAGTCAATTTTAACCAAAACTGAAAGAGAAGGTTTGTAAGTTTGATCCCTTCTGTGGCAGCTCTTTCAAAGCAGGAGGTTTCTGTGTTTTGTTTCGGAGTAAACTACTCTCAAGCTTTTAAAACCACTAGTTTTCATTTGTTTAAACAATTAAGAGTCAAAACTGGACTGATATTGGCTGGTATTTGAAGATGGAACAATCATTTCATTCCGTCTGAAACCAAAAGTTTTAGGGAATTTACTTTACAAAAAAAAAAAAGTCTGCATCCCTTTTCGGTACAGAAGAAGCTTTTAAATCATTGAATTCCCCAAAACAAATTCAGAAACCCTCTAATCCTACCTCAGCTTTTACACTAAGCCTCCTGACTGTCCCTGCAGGAGATGGAAGAGGACCTGAAGGGAGACCTGAGTGGGAATTTTGAAAAGGCTGTGCTGGCTTTGCTGGACCTGCCCTGCGAGTATGAGGCCCGAGAGCTCCGGAAGGCGATGAAGGGTGCTGGGACAGATGAGTCACTGCTGATTGAGATTCTCTGCACACAAAACAATAAGGTTGGGACACCTTGTGTGACCTTCCCTAGGTAGCAGGACAAAGAGCTTGCCAAGAGCATCTCCTTGGGAGGAGGAGGAATTAGACCAACTTCTGTGGCTGAAATGCCTCTTGTCAGTGGTTACAGTGATAAGATTGCTGTACTAGAGCTAAAACTCTTGCAGGAGTTAAGAGCAACATAATTCAAATTCCTTCCTTGGAGCTACTCCTGCCTCCCATGGATGGCACAGAGGTAACACTGATGAGAGAGAAATCCCCAGGTACATGATAAAGGCAATTTTGTCATTGCTCTGGTGGTTCAGAGGTACAGGAACACAATCTTATTGAAAAACCCTTTAGCTCATGCCTGAACTCGAGGGAAACCAGAGGGGCATCTGTATGAGCCAAGCATCCCTCAAAGTGCTGTTCTGAAGCAGAAATGGGAATTTGGCTTCTCCCACCTACATGCTTGCTACACCTCACACAATATGGGCATGGTACTGACTTGCTCAGGTTTTGTTTGCTTATTTATTTATTAATTCATTAAGTTTATTTATTTGCTCATTTTTCCTTTTTTAATTTATTTGCCTAGGAAATTGTAAACATAAAAGAGGCCTACAAACGGCGTAAGTAGCTTTGTCTTTCACACACCTTCATTTAAACTCTTTATCACTGGGTGAACCCTCACATGTTTTTGTTCTTCCCAGTGTTTGATAGAGATCTAGAGTCTGATGTTAAAAACGACACAAGTGGCTCCCTACAGAAGATACTAGTCATGGTGCTAGAGGTAAGGCTGGGGTTCTGACAGAGATAATTCTTTTTTCAATCCTGACTTCCCTGAGTAATCATAGTAAGTATTAGCTGGCATTTGTAATAAAGTAGTTATCAAGTGTAATATAGTAATGAGGTAACTACGATAAACAAAAGGCATTCTTCAGTATAAGAGCCTTTTTATATCTATAG